GGCGGCGCGACAAAGGGCGGCGGCGACCTCTTCGGGCGGGCACGCGGCGCAGCGGCGGTGGACGCCGCGCACGCATACCTGTACGCACGGAGGCACCCGTCCGTATGGCCCATACGTACATGCGTACGCAGCGTCCCGTATGTACGACCCGTACGCCTAAACGGGCCGGTGGACGGGCCGTGCTCGGCGACAGGGTTTTCGAGTGCCAGGGCCGTTTGGGGGGGGGGGGGGGGGGAAGGCGGACAGGCCTGGGGACGGGCTTTGGCGCTGTTTACTAAGCTCTGATCCGACATCTGTGGGCGCTGGGCTCCGTGCAAGGCTGCAATGGCGCCAAGAAAGGGAGGGGAGATCAGCCATTCGTTCCGGTCAGTAAGGACAAGCAGAGGGAGGCGGAGCTGAAGTTTTGCGGCTTTAAGTGGATTACGAAGGGCCAGACGATGTCGAATTCGAATGGCAATTTCCTCATGCTGTGCAAGCTATGTGGTCAGGGTTTTCAGGGGAGCCAGATGAAAGCCGCACAACACTTCACGATCAAGAACAATTGCGCCAAAATCTCCGTGGAGCAGATGGCGGAGATCTGGAACAAGACAAAGTACGGGTTCGATCCAAGCCATCAACGGAAGATCGTGGACTTTCTGAAGTCTCATGGGTTTCAATACAATAGATGTGGATCGGGGAGGGAGCCGGCGGGGAAGGAGGAGTTCGAGGACAGCGAGGAGGAGAGGAGGGCGGTCAAGGGTGGAGATGATGATGGTGAGAGTGATGCAGAGGACATGGAGGTGCGGCGAGAGGTGGAGCGCGCCAGGGGAAAGATGAGGAAGGAGAAGGCCATTGACGAGGACAGCACCCCTGACGAGGACGACGACGGCGACGATGACGATCAGGGAGCAGACCTTGGGGCCTCTCTGGACGGGGGGTTGATGGGCGATGGTCGTCGTGGCCAAGAGGGGGCAGCCAGGGCGATGAAGGAGGCTGCGGGATCGAAGAAGAGAAAGACGAAGGCGAAGATGACTACCACTGAGGCGAGATTAACACCTTCTCAGCCCAAAAAGAGCAGAGTTATTCGACAGACGTCCATGCTAGAGACCTTCGATCAAGTGTGGCAACGAGAATTCTCTGACTCCGTCCTGCAGTGGTGGTACGTGAGCGGCATCCCATTCGAGGCGGCGAGGAGGCCAGAGTATCATACGATGAGGAAGAAGTTGCTCGAGTGTCCGCCGTATGCACATCCGGCATTACCCACGCACCGTGTCATTTCCTGCGACGACATCCCTCAGCAGCAGCGAGTTGTGGCGGACATGGTGGCGGCCATCCGCAGGGACATTGAGGCCACAGGAGCAACCATCCTCACGGATGGTCGCAAGTCCATCACGAGCGACCAGATAGTCAACTTCCTTGCTGCTGGTCCCACGGGCGCGTACCTTTTCAGGAATGTGTAGCGGGATGGTTCTGTTTAGGAGAGGCCGTCGTGGAGCGATGGAAGGATGTGTTCGACAAGTTCGGTGTCGACAAGGTGAACGCCATTTGTACTGATTCAGCGTCTGCGTATGTCGCTGCCTCCAAGCTCCTCGCCGAGGAGGAAGTCAAGTACAGCCGCATCACTTGGCTTCCGTGTGCGGTGCATGTTTGCAACTTGTTGTTGTCAGACATCGCGAAGGATGGGCGTGACGGGAGCCTCGGGACAAGGGAGGACACCATCATCAGGGCTCGAACTGTCATGGGTTTCATGAGACAGCACGGGGCGGCTCTGAGCCTTTATCGACGGTTCTCTGCCGCCCACCCCTCTTCGGCCTCCGCGGTGGCTAGTAGTTCCAACTCTACGCCACCCTCGTCTCAGCGGCGAGGTAGGGAGCTTGTGTATCCTGTGCAGACGAGGTTTGCCACCCACTACTTGATGCTGGAGAGGCTGCTGGATCGTCGCAGAGCATTGGAGGCGTTGATGATGAGTGACGATTGGCTGCGGACTGCATGGAGGAGGTCCATTTTTTTGCAAGCCAGATGGGTCCGTCATCAGGTGCGGTACGTGCCATTCTGGGAGCACGTGGAGGACATCGTGGCGCTGATGATGCCTGTGATGCAGTTGCTACGGCGTCTGGACAGGGGGGGGCGCGTGATGACTCGCATGTGGTCGTGGAGTTTTGTCATGGTCGATAGGGTGGCGAGAGCAAGCCTGAACAGGACGTCAAAGAATGAGCTCCACATCGTTGTTCAGGCTTGTCAGGCGCGGGTCGCTCATATGTTGGAGCCCGCACATTGCATGGCCCACCTCCTCAACCCGCGGCACAGGAGCATTACTTTTTTTGGAGCGGCGAGGCGTACCGACCACGAGCGGATACTGGCAGACGAGTCGTTGCGATTCCTTCGCCAGTAGACTGGTGGTGACGAGGATTTATATCAGACGTTGCGCACGCAGCTGGCGGAGTTTCATTCTCGGGAGGGCAATTGGACGTATGGAGGGGTCGAGGGAGACAGGGATGCGGCCGCCTGCAAAGGGGAGAAGGAGACGTCACAGGTGGGGCAGTGGTGGGTTCAGCACAGGGACAGGGTCCCTCTCCTTTAGAGCATCGCCATTCGCTTATCGCACACATGGACGTGCGCCTCTCTGACGGAGAGGAATTGGGCCGTCCATGACCGTGTTCAGGTGAAGAGGCGTAATCAGCTTGGTTTCATCAAGCTGACTCGTTTGGTGGAGATATCCACCAACTTGAGATTGAGTCGTTGTCAGGGGAGGGGTTTTGGGTATGTTCTTCCATGGGAGGACGCTGAGGAGGAGACAGAGGACGATATTCCTCCGCCTCGTGATGAGGGTGTTCGGCCGGCCGACCGAGTCACCGAGGCACAGCGTGACCGGCAGGTCCAGCGCGGGCGGAAGGATCGCCTTTCAAAGGCACCTCCCAGCGTCGAGACGTATTTTGGTTGTCGCGCCACGGTGCTCATGGTGCATGAGTTGGAGTCGGTGTACGATCCCGAGCCTGATCCCATGGATCAGGACGAGATGGAGGCCGAGCCGTGGTCCGATCCAGACGACCTGGCCGTGGAGTCAGAGCCAGGAGGTTCTGATGATGATGACGACGACACTCCTCTCATCCAGATTCCGCGTCCTCGCACACGTGCGTTCACGGCTGCCGCTGCACCGTCTCCCGCAGCACGCCCTCCTTCGAGTGCTCCCGACGTCTCACAGCCAGGACCGGAGGACCGTGTCGAGAGCCCTACGCCACACCCTTCGACCGATCGTCGCAGACAGGGAGGGACTCACGAGCGTGTCGACGAGGGAGACGACGACGATGGCTACAACAGGGAGGGATATGAGGGCAGCAGGATGAGGATGATCCCTGTTATTCCCCGTCACGCGGACATGGTGACGACGACGACGACGAGGGCGGCGACGGTGGACAGGCTGTGGGTGGTTTGCGGAAGTCCAAGAGACAACGTGGCGACCGATGCAGTGGTGCAGGCAGGGGAGGCAGCGGGCCGGGTGTTGGGGGTGCAGGGCGCACAGGTGGTGCAGGGCGTGCTGGCAGAGGAAAAGTAAGGCGGGAGTTTGCATCTTCCACTCGCACTGTGCATTGGGTTGATGAGGGGAGGCCCGCTGAGGCAGTTGTGGTTGCTTCCTCCCCTATAGAGGTTGCTCCGTCCCCTGCAGAGTTCGCAGTGGCGTCTGCAGAGGGCGCAGCGGCGTCTGCGGAGGGCGCAGGCGGGTTTGCGGGTGGTAGTGGCAATGATGGAGAGGTTGGGAGGCCATCTGGACAGTTGGGTGTCAGTTTCAGCGACAGCATTTTTGATGTTTCGTTAGGGCATCCTCCGACACCAGCAGGGGAGCGTGTTGGTGTCGATGTGGACGCAGCGGCCACGCCCGTCTGTCAGATACTTCGTGACATACCTTCATGTAGCACGGGCGACATCAGTAGTAGCATGTTGCAGGAGGCAGCAGAGGGGGCACCGGGTTGGTCGGGGCAGCACGAGCGTGCAGCTGGGGATGATGGGGAGTGTCAACCTGTGCAGGAGAAGGCGACAAAGTCAGAGCAGGACAGGATCGACCGCGAGGAGAGGAGGAGGGCGCAGGGGTTGACTTGCCGCTGCGAGATGACGCAAAGTGTTGCATCGAGGGCACGTGTAGCGCGGATGCTCGAGACGGGCGTTGAGGCAGGTGATGCAGAGGGCGAGTGCGGCGGTGCGGGCATTGGAGATGCGGGCGAGAGACCTACGTTGCCAGTTCAGGGTGTTTGAGTATTGCCTCTCGGTGGGGCCATGTCGGCGGGGAGTTGGAGCGGCAGGCACGGGAGGACCCGTTGCAGGCAGATCGTCGCGGGCGGATGGCCGAGGCGTCGAGGAGATTGATGGCAGAGGGCCCGGCTTACGTGCCTTGCAGCCCGTCAGTGCCATCGTCCACCACAGGTGTCAGCACACCTGCACATGTGGAGGGTACAGGCGCGGCAGAGGCGGCACGGGGCCCCTCGCCGACACCTGCCGGGGAGTCTCCTTCTCCTCAGTCACGGAAGAAGAAGATGAGAGTAGGGAAAAGTCTTAGTACCGTGAGGAGAGTGATGCAGACGATGCGGGCGAGTCAGCCTGGGTTGGCCGGTTTACATCCGCGGACACGGGCGGTTTTGGGCGGGGACGTTGTCGCAGACGCAATAGGATGGCAGGAGAGGGTCTCCGATCGAGCGACGGATCAGCCCATGAGCGCACCTGCTGAGGCGACGTTGCCACATACCGCAGGGCGTACAGCGGGCACGGGCGACCACGCCGAGCACAATGCGCCCCCCGGGAGGAGCATGGTTGCACATATATTGCGGGAGGATGTGAGGGCAGCGACAACGCAGCGGCCATCACAGGCACCAGTCGTTTGGGAGTCTGGCACAAACGATTTGGAGATGCCTTATGGCCAGCGGAGGAGGGTATCCGTTTACGATCTTCTTCGACCACAGGGAGGGGTTGAGGCGGCGCCACAGGGGGAGATTCATGCTCCGGATACTACGCACGCGCCGGCAGGCGGCACAGGTCGTGGGGATGGTGTGAAAGGTGTGGTGCCGCGGAGGAGGAGGAAGGACATTGTGGACGACGATGATGCATAGTTCCACCATTAGTCTTCTTTCATCCTCTGATTCGTAGTAGTGTAGAGTATATTTAGTGCTTGAGACGAGGCCTTGTGTTAGGAGTAGTCTGTAGTGCTTGAGACGAGGCCTTGTGTTCGTAGGAGTAGTCTGTGCAGGTCGTCATGACTGCGGTAAACCTACCGTTGTGAACAACTGCACCCAGAATTTAATTCCCCAAACGAGCCCCTCCCAACCCCCAATATTTTTTTATTTTTTTTTCACAGCTAAGAG